ATATGTTTCATTAATATATATATATTTACACCTATAATAATGGAAAACCATGATAACAAACCAAAACAAAAACTTGCAGTTAGAGTTAAGAAAGTGATAATAGACTATAAGTAAATGTGGAAAAGCACAAAACACACAGTTAATTAAACTTTTCGTCAATATATAGTCTGCTTAAAAACAAAAACAGTGTAAGCACATGCGTGAGAATTAATATTGAATGTTACTGTTTCCAATAACAAACGATAAGCATTTGCAAAAATACTTTGCAGCGCCATCCGTATTTAATAAGGTACAAATAAGAACACATGGTTTAGGTTCATTGAGTTTATCAAACAGAAATTTTCATGTCAAATTCCAACTAATAAGTCCTTATATGACCAAGATTTGCACATATGTAACTAACAATTACAAAAGGAGAAGATTTTTTATAAAAACAAACAATTGTTACAATGTATGTCCTGTTTATACGTAGTACGGGTTGATCATTAATTCTGACTAGTGAATTATCAGCGTGTCGTAACTCATAATTAATTGATTTATAGTCAAATTTTTTAAAGTTTGGTATATATCAGCCAAGTTCAAAACAACAATTATTTTCAACCAAGAGCATAATTTAGGTTCATTGAACTTTTCAAAATTTAGTGCCCAAAATTAAGTAAAGCTATGATCAGGAGTATATATGTTATGTACCTTGAGGGAGAAAGAAGCTTTTGTAGGGAAAAACGAATTGCATCCCCCTACAAACAGGTCCAAGCACCTTGTGGTAATTCATGGTGTCAAGCTGAACAGCGAACACCCCAGCCGCGGTCCACACGTACCCCACGTTCTCATCCTCGTCCAGCGCCATCAACCACACCAGAGGCATCGGCTTCGCCGACGCCGGCAGCTGCGGCGGCGGCGGCAGCCGAGCGTTGCGCAGGGGGAGCAGCGCGTCCAGCACCACGATGTTGCGCAGGTCCCAGGTGGACGCGCCGTGGGTGTAGTCGCGCAGCGTCCAGAGCTGGAGGATGTACCCGGACACCGCGGCGAGGCCGACTCCGCCGCCGCCGCTCCTGGGGACGACGATGCTCAGGTTGGCATCGTGCACGTCGTCGAACGCGTCGGCCGGCACCAGGATCTCGTGCAGCTCGTGCGTCTCCAGGTTGAACGCGACGAGGCCGTGCGAGATGAGGTGCCAGTAGAGGGTCTGGCCGATCAGGACGCTCGGCCGGCCGTCGATCACCGACGACATCTCTGTCGCCGCCGCCTTGGTCCACCGGAACGTCGCCGAGTTGTAGACGAAGGCGGTGGAGCGCTTGGTGGCGGCGTTGCTCGAGACGAACACCACGCGGAACAGGTGCGGCCGGAGGCGGAGCTCGTCGTGGCCCCCCGCGGCGGAGACCACGGCGGCGTTGCTGAAGTATGCCGGCCTGTACTCCGGCGCCGGCGGCGCCGGGATGTACTGGCGGCGGCCGAGCATGGGCTCCAGCACCAGGAGGCGGAGCCGCGTGGGGCTGAGGAGGAGGACGCGCCCGCCGCGGCAGCCGATGACGTGCCACTCGGCGTCGTCGCCCAGGGCGAGCACCCCGCCGGGATTACGCGCCGCGGTGGCGCGGCGGCTGCGGCAGCGGCTCCGACGGCTGTCCCCGGTGCCGTCGACGCCGACAGGGATGAAGCGGGTGTCCGCCCAGGGGCCATGGTTGTGGTTGCTGAAGAAGCCGACGAGGGGAGCCCCCGGCGCGCCGCCGTGGAGGTCGCTGAACCGGCGGAGGAAGCGGCGGCTGGTGACCACGCGGCGGAACCGGCGGCTGACGAGGGAGACGCGGCGGAGGCAGGCCGGGTGCGGCGGCAGCCGGAGGAAGATCTCGGCGAGGATGTCGTCGGTGAGTCCCGCCGCCGCGTCGTCGGCCGCGCCTGCACGGCGGCGAGGAGGACAGCCACAGCAGCTGATCGCGGCGCCCATGGGGATCGAATTGGGGATCGATTGATTGTGTTTTTTGCGAGCTCGGTGTGATGAAGCTGCTGCTCACACTATGCATGCAATGCTCTCTTTGCTGCCTTAAAATGCTCGGGGGTTTCCGAAAATGCCCCTGGCTGCACGTGTGTTTCCCGATTTGCCCCTGGCTGCTGATGACTCACTGGAGATGGAGTGACGCCACTGGAGACGCTGTCTTCTCGTGATCAGAGCCCGGTTACTTACGGCCAAGATTGTTGGTAGGTCTCTCATATGGTGCAAGCTAGTGCATGATGACAATGACACAGCTTGCGAAATAAATGTTTTTTTTCTGAAATTTCTTTTGGCTTATTATAAAGCTTTTGCATAGCATGAAAATTTTAATGGCTTTGGGAATTCAAAGTGTAATACTCTCATTTCGAAATAAGCCTATTAATAATTTCGGGGTGAGTTGAACATAAGGTCATTTTTTATGGGGAGTTTAATTCCACAGTTTTAAAGAGTGCCGCGTTGTCTAGAGAGGTTTGAGTTGATGAATTAAACAATGTACGCTCTAGAGCATTGGGTTTCATATACTAGCTATAGTGTTGCTAAATTGTGAGTTTTAATTTTGTCCAAGACATAGGTAAGTGTGTATACCGGTATAAAACCCATTGTAACCTTTATCTCTTCATATATTTTATTGTCATGTGATCGGTTTAACCTATGTGGCATCTTATAAAAACAGGGATCGACGGTTTTAATTTCCTAATTAGCCGAGCCCTCCTGTTGAAGAAAAAAAAGCACAAACCTTTATTTTGCATTAGAAAATGCCTGCTTAATTAATTGATTGCGTGCACTGAAAAATATAAACTTTTTTTAAGACTATGGCAGACACAAATTGACCAAGATATATGCATGTAAGAAGAACATGAGCATTTTTTGCTAGCGCCAAATCTCCAAACACGCCAGGTAAAAGCACCTTTTGTTTTTGCTTAAAGCAGCCATGCGAAGCTGCAGCTATCCTGGTGATCGACAGCACTGTTCTTGCTACTACAACAGCCCAAGAAGTATGACAATGTTTGTCTCGATGCAATTAAGCGAAGAAGATATGCATATATGTTCCTGACTCTGCCTGATCGATATATTACTTATGCGTGCACTGATGGCTTGGTTTTCTCCTAGCTTGAACAAGAAACACAAGTAAATGTAGCGAGGGAACAATATTAACAAGAAACACAAGTAAATGCTTTCATATATATCAAAGAAAAGACTATGGTATTTTTTTTTCTTTCTAGTAGGATGTATATATATGTACATGCAGCTTCATATATTCATGGGCATTTCTTTTTTTTATCACAAGGCAGACACATATATATCATACACCACTACATATGTAACATCACACTTCACGTCCCCGCAAATGCGTCGCCCAACACATGCTCTAATAGACAGAAACCAGCAATTCATGTGAATTCGTTTCAAATATAAAATTAACAGCACAAATTATGTGTTCAGAGCTTCTGCATTCAAAGGCAGAAAGCAGGTAAGAATTAATAGTATGTTACTGTCTTGATCAAGAGGCAATTCGGAGTTTAATTAATTAATTAGATCAACTTTTAGAGTATATTACCCTTCCCATGAAACAGACGTTAAGGAACAAATTTTATGCATTGCAAGATGTACAGGCTTAACAAAATTTCATAAGTGATCATTACAAACTCTTTTTGGGAATATTAGTGTTAATTACAGACTTCTGAACAAAAAATAGATGCTAACAAGGTGCTAAATCACTGCATCGAGTTCACCATGCCTCCTAATAACTGGTTGCAGATTGAATATCATTGACAATATGAATCAACATAGTGTTCAGTGCAACGGGCGCGTGTTTTGCAAAAGACTAAAACATTCGAATTAGTTGCGGAGTTACAGCACGCCTACAACACAAAATTAACCAAAAACATGATCACTGTTTCCAAAAAAAAAAGTGCCCTGTATACTAATTTTAATATCCCTGTTATCCATCTAAAAATGCCATCTGAAAGGTAATCCAGAATTATGTGTGAGTACATAGGTTTTAGCAGTAAAATAAGCAATGCACAAAAGGGGAAAAAATAAGAGATAAGACCAGAAGAATACAGGCCTGTGAAACAGATTAAGGAGATTGTATTGGGGTAGGGTGGTGTTGGTTCAGTACATTACACCAATTCCTGAACAAATTACTGTATCATATTGATTCTCCGGTTCCTGTAACAATCAAGATGCATGACTGGAAAAGTGATAAGTTTTATGGTCCAAACAGTAGTCCATATAGCAGAAGAAGCTAGATTCAGACGCTAATGCAGATCCTGCTACTACTTCTAGTGCAATCGAGCCATTCAGATTGTACTCTGATCGAGAAAGCTAAAATTTTGTCCAAGAGTTCCAACTGCACTATATTCAAATATGACAATTTGCTTATGTACCTGTGAACTGCTGTCTTAACATATGTCAGCAAGTTTCTTTCCTTTACCATGCCAAGTCCCTTGCCTACAAAGACATGAACAGTACTATATATATCCTTCAAATCCCTATTACATGCGAAAGTTCATGTAATAACTAAATAGGTCGTAAATGAAATCCTTTTGGAAAATTAGTAACTTCAAAAAGTTTATTGTCAGGAATATATGACTTTCTTTGTATACTACTTTGTAGTTATCTTAATGACACGCATCTGAATGCAGACTATATATGGCGCAGCTAGCGTAAGGATGTAAGCATCATAAAATGCTTGTAAAGAATCCCCTCAACTATATATGATCACACCTGTAGAAACAATGATACGATCATACAATGGATCTCCTGGTGACGATTCTGAGATGATGAAGGGTGATTCGACAAGTCGTATTAGCACTGTCATTCAATGAGATGTACATTGTGAGTATACATATGGATGCATAATAATCTAGACAATATACATTGCATGCAGATCAACTGACATAAATTCAGTAGTACTGTATTTCTGGTGATGGGCACTTAAAATTGGTTGTTAACATTATCGAATTACACAGATTGTGGTTGTAGAGCCAACATGAATGGATTAGATGAAGGGACCACATTTTGAAGCAAGATCTGGAAGTGGAACATTAACCAAGAATTCATAGTTGGAAGAGCAAGTCTAATGAACCAAGAACTCATAGTTGGAAGAGCAAGTCTAATGAACCAAGAATTCATGTTGAATACAATGGGAAAATTCAGCTGATTGCAGGAGTAAAGCTATTGCACTCACCAATTTCATAGCAACAATTACTAAGTCAGGAAAACCTCTTTCCTCTCATGATCGGTTTCAAGTTAATGAACAAAAGAAGGATCTTTGGGAGATATTACATGTGAATTTTAGAAATGAATTTCATGATATGGTATTGCAAAATGCAAACTTATGTCTGTTCACCTTAATTTGACGCATCTGCAGACCTCTAATATTGGTCTGAAGCATGGCATTGAGTAAGTGAAATTTGAAGTATCATATAAAGAGCACATACACCAAACAAAAATAAAACTAAATGAGTTTTTCTGTATGACTTTGATAATTAATTATGAGGGTAGTTTTACCTGTTTGGAAATAACTAGTAAGAAATTGGAGATTGGAGAACACAATATAGTGGAGTACTATTTATCGGTGTAAATTAAAGATGAGGGCGAGTTCGCCTCCCCACAGCGCTCCGGACCTTTTCGGGCCGACGTGCTCGCTTCTGCTGATATCCACATCGTCCCGCTCCCTCCGCGCGCGCGAGGCTGATGCGGCTGTGGGCCCGGTTCCTGCCGTTTCCCGCGCTAGGGGAGCGCCTCCGGCGCTTGTGCTGAAGCTGCTGCGGGCTTGGGTATCTCTAAATGGGCTGTCAGGGTGGGGCCCAACCAAGGGACGGTGCGCTGGCAGGTTCGCCGTTTCACCGCTCGCTCGTTCATCAGACCCGTCGGGCGTTTTCCTCCGTCCATTGCGCTCTGCGTTCCAAAAACCCTAGCCGCACCGAAGCCGCCTCCTCCTCCTCCTCAGCGACGCTGCCAGCCGTCCTTCGCCCTCCTCCCCACAGACTCCTTTGCGCGTCCTCCTTCGCCCAGGCGCTGCTACGGTCGTTCGATGCCGTGGTGAACCACCTCCAGGCTGCGCTCGACGCCACGGACGCCGCGGCGGCGTCCCTGTTGAGGGACCATGCGGCGCTCGACGACGGCAACACACGGCTCGGGGCGAGGCTAGATCGCACCCTCGCGTCGAACCTTGTGTGGGCGGCGACGACGCCCTCGGCGCACTCCTTTCCGATGGCGTCTTCGACTCCGTCCTCTGGCACGCGCTCCGCGTCGCTCCACCGGCTTCACCAGCTCGCTCGCTGGCCTCCTCCGATGCGATGTGTGGGATCTTGTTGCTACGGCGGATACTAACTACCCTGGTGTAGACTACTCCAGGCCTAGCCACTGCCGGTACGCACTCCTCTCCCTGGTTTGCCTATCCAGGTTTGATGGCTTCGATTCACTCTACTAATAATTTGGTGGTTCAACTGATACGAGCACACTAGAAGGAATCGATCTTGCAACCTGGAGGAATGAGTCACTGCAGCGATTCATCGAGCACTCAGATGCAGACCCAATTGACCTTATTTTGCGACCGGAAGTACAAGTAGCTCATTCATCCTGCTGGTATTGAAGTCTATTTGTGACAGCGCTGTGGCGCAGCTATCTGCATGCTTTGCCTCCTCCTTACAATATGATCTCCCTTGAATCCATCGCTCGGGCCTCAGGCCATGGTTGCAGCCGCTGCCCAACCGTGTTGCCCCGAACTGCTCACACCTCAATGTATACAACAGGCACTGATTGCTCAACGAGCATGACAATGCCACACCGAGTCACAATCACAGACATGTGAGTTCTTTCGCTTTATTTCTGCATCATTATAAGGAGTACTGATTTTTTTGTTAACTAAAGATTGTTGTATTTATGACGGTATAAGATGTAATCCCTGACAATGTGATATATGCCTTGTGCTGTTCTGTAAAAAGAGAGATTATTTTCATTCCTTCTTGTTTGTGCGTATGTTTTGTTTTTCCCCTCAGCATCAAGGTAGA